AAAGGTAACCCAATGAAGCAAGCAATTAGATCATTTCTATGTAACTATCATTGCTATAATGATTAATCCACAACAACATGTATCTGTTAATTCAGATTAGGTCAAATTATGATTCTAATCCCTCCACTAATATTTAAATTTGTGATTCTTTAGTTGACATAATTTAATCTCTCTATTGTTAAGATATCATTAGCTAGTCTGAATTGTTAACTATTCCACTTAAAATACCGAACGTAAAGGGGCCAAATTTTGATTAATTCATGTATAGGGGCTAAATCCCAAAGTTGAGCATAATAAAGAGACAAAACCCGAATTTGACCAAGTTATTGTTCTTGTTAAAGTTAATTTGGAAAAAAGAAGGGGAAAAGCATGCATTCAAGGTAGGGATGAAAATAGACCTGTTGCCGAGAATGGAATGCAAATGGACGATAAGCTCTTCCTCCTGCGGTGATATGGCGCCTCGTTTGAGATCGGGTCTCAAGTAATTGATCCAACGGAGGCGGCAGCTCTTGCCACACCTTTGCAGGCCAGCATTTCTGGCTACATCGCTCCAACAACCTTGGCCATTGGTTAACATATAGTTGATGAGCTTCTCATCTTCCTCCGGTGACCACAACCCTTTCCTAAGCTTATTATTAGTAGTAGTTGCGCTACCCTTGGTAGGCTTCCTCATCATGAAAATAAAAACCCTAAAGAGAGTGGAATCAAGCCTTGGATTTCACTATCCAAGAGCAAAAGTTATATAATATTTTGGGTTATTTTTTTGTTGATAACTAACAGGGTTTTGTGAATTGGGTTAAGGGGGATTTTATAAAGTGAAAGAGGAAGGGTTAGGAGAGGAGGGTTCATGGTGATGATTATGGTGATGGTTGCCGGGGGTTTGCTTAGAATTTTGGAAAGAAATAAGGAGCAAAAAACAGTTGGGATGGGTCTAAGTAGTAAACGGTTTGGAAGGAGACTTTGAGAGAGAGAAATAGTGAAATAAATAAATATAAGAAATATTAATTAGAATGTAATAGTATTTTATCTTTATTGACATCCTCAGCCTTTTATCCATTGTTTAGGGTTATTTTTTTTGTTTAATTACCTATGTTTGATCTATTAGTCGATTGATTTGAATAAGATATTGCAAAGGTACATTTACGAAGCAACTCTCCCAACTCAGTTTATCCATTTACAATGTTAAGATTCAACATCTGATATTACTGAATGAATCTAGTATTTCATCACTTAAATAAATTAGTCGTTCGTAAAATAAAGCCTAATTTAATTTTAATAGAAGGGTTTCCCTAACTATGCACACTCTTTTTCTTTAATGAAATGATATAATATAAAATTGTGAGTATATGAGTTTATATATTATTATTCTACCAAATATACATCTTTGTATTTGCTTCTAATTCACATAGCCATCTTTCCTCCTCCTTTCAACATCTAATGAGCCCACACTTGCATTTGAAGCTATAGATATGGGCGTGGTTACTAACTTTAAATCATGCAAAAATTTAATAATTAATTGAGCATACGGGACACAGACCCATATAATATGCACATTTAAGTTTTGATGAGAAAACGAAAAGTAGAAAAGTTTTCTTTGTTATATATTATAAATATTATCGTCTTTTGTCATATGCATAATGTTATCAAATGAGATATAATAAATAATAATATGACTCTTGAACCACTTTTAGTACTGAAACCACTTAAACATAAAATTTCAGGATTGAAGTTAAAAAAAAAGTAAAAAATTTTACAATTACCTTTTATTTTCCGAATTAATCCACATGAAGAATAAGAGAATTGTGATTGAAGAAAAAGTGTTCCATTTGCCTTGAAAGTTGAGCCACTGACATTTTTAGTAAACACATAATTTATTATATAAAATGAATCTCACAATTAAGGTAGGAAAATATGGAGAAAAGAAAAATTCATGCATCACCACTCATGTCTTTGACTTTCCAATTGCACCCTTTGGAAGCAACACAATGATGCTTACATCTCTATAGATTGTAAAATTTAAAATTCTTATACGTGTTTAGATACTTGTATTAATGAATTTAGCAATTGAGATTGTTTTTTTAAAAAAAAAAATTAAAGAAATTTATCCCTTTTTCCCTCATAATTTTCTTAGTTTCTATTATTAATATCAATTATATTTTACTCAAATAACGATCTAAAAATATATAAAACATTTAAATTTTATATTGTGTCAACAAATTTACCTATGTTTATAATGTTGAAAAAGAAAAAGAAAATACTAATGCATAAAGTTTAAATCTTAATCTTCAGTTAGATTCATCATATGACTATATTTTCGTATAAAAGTAATAGTCTTTACACAATGCAGTGGTCCATACTATCATATACATATAATTAAAGTTAGTTATTACAACGAGTAACAAAAATTATGTTGTCTTATATTGTATGAATTTGAACTTCAATATTCGTCTTAAGAATATAAACCTCTCCAGTAATTAAAAAATAGTGAAAAATTCATCATTATATTATCTATTAAACAATTCTCGATATATATAATAATTATTTGATATATTATCAACTACGATTTTTCTTTAAAAGTATTTTAATTTGTTATCATGTTTGTTGATTTAAGACACATGATGGTCATTAAAATTGTTTGTAAAGAAGAAATTATATATCTAAACTTATTCAAATTTATATTTCTAAAAAAATATATAATAGTCGATATCATATGAACTAATACCGGATGAGAGTATATAGAAGTAGTCGTTGAGAAATATTACTATTCTGATAAAGAAAAGGGGTGAGTTTGAACCAAATAGCTTCTAGAAATGAATAAGGGTGGGTGTTAAGTTGGATTTATGAGGAAGTGACATAATTAATTGGGTTGATTACGCAAGTCGCTTGGGATGGGGGTTTACTTAAATTTGCATAAAAATATGGACAAACAATGATTAATCCCCTTAATCATGCATCCTGTGAACGTACAATCCATATTTATAAGCGACGGCAGGCACTAGCTTGGACTTTTTTTTTATTTTGATCATAATTTTTTGAACAAACACTCACTTGATCTATATCGAAAACAATGACAGACTTGATTTCGAAGTGAAATTATAGGGACTGATTTAACATTTAAGCCTTATGTTTCCAACACTTTTCAAAAAGAAAAGAGAGAACTCCAATAAAATTAAAAAATTAGCATCCGACTTTATCGAAACGTTAGGGCTTAAGGTTTTTGGGGTTTTGAATGAGTTATTCAACCTTAGAGTTAATTTTGGGCTTTATAGAAATATGGACTCCTTACGGCATAAATTTACTTTTATGAGCCTGTTTTGACATGTTTGTAAACTCAAAGTATTATAAAAATTAATCTAAAAAAATCATATATATAGATATATATTATAATCTATTTTTACTCGTAAGATGATTCTAAATACGTGTAAAACAAAAAGTTTTACCTTGTATAAGTAGATTCTAACCCTATATACCGATATATTCCATCTAAACCAACAAAGTATGACGTTCCAAATATTAAAAATAAATATGAAGTGCTCAACAATTCAATACGTACATAACGTGCATCCATTTGTTTGCACCGTGTTGACTTTTTATTCCAATAGTTGTTAACAGGTCTCCTTTTACTTGGCTTTGATCTTAATACAAAATATCTTTTAATTGGTCAATGAATACTTATATTATAACAGAGCGTAGACAGATGAAGTTGAACCGATCGAGCTTACATATATCACTTTATATTTTTCTTTATTTTTTGATTAATTATTTGTATTTTATCTTTATTAAAGTAATATATATGTTTCTTATGTTATCTAATATTGATCATATAATATATATATTTAATTTGTTCTTTATATATGGTCGATTTAATTACGGATATAAAATAAATACATAATTTTTAACCTAAAATTTATATTCCACTTAAGATTATCTTCATTCCATATTTTGAAATAAAAATTAAAATTGATGTTTTAACACACGAAATGACTTGATCTTTAGATATACTGTGACCAAGTCCGGGGGAGGTGATTTACCCATCCAGTTGGATTGACAGTGATATTGTTATTATGACACTCATAAGTTTGCTCTCTATCAATTGCCAAAATAATTTGTTTTCGTATTTTTCAAGTTACAACGTGACCAGTTACTAACAGTATATATTCAAATAAAATTCATACATAATAAAATTTAGCCAATTAAATTTTTTCATAAAATATTTACAAGTAAACCTTTTTTTTTATTTTTTGTAAAGAAAAATTAAATTACTATAACAAGTTTAATATAAAGAATAACAATTGCTTGGGAAGTCGCCGGTTTTGTGAGATATGAAATTATATATTTAGTTGAAGATTTCAATAACTTTTTTAATATAAGAGTTTGTTGAGAACATTTCAAGTACAATCTTGATTGACAACTTCTAGTGTAGGGCCGAGTTAGTGGGATGTCACATTCCTCTTTCAATAATTAATTTGACCTTTGATAAGCATGGAAATAATTATTTGGATGGTTAGAGAGAGGAAGCTTCATATGGACCATTTAAAATTGAATAGGTACGGGGAGCTTACTATATAAACTTGAAGCTCTCATTTGTAGTTCACAAAACATAATTACAAATAGTCTTCGATTTGGTATAGTAAGTGCAAAGAAGTTGGAGTTTTTTTTGCGCTTTATTCCCTCAAGATGGCCAGATTTGGCCATACCTATCCTATGCCTTGGCAGTGTGCTTGATAAAACCAATGTAGCTGCCGACGACGAGCCGACTCCATACAAGTATGAATCGCCACCACCTCCTCCATCACTACCTCCTCCTTACAAGTATGAGTCTCCACCTCCACCCCCATATAAGTACAAGTCACCACCACCTCTCCGTACAAGTACGAGTCACCACCTCCACCTCCACCTCCGTACAAGTACGAGTCTCCACCTCCACCTCCATACAAATACAAGTCACCACACCTCCTCGTACAAGTATGAGTCACCACCTCCACCTCCTTACAAATATGGGTCACCACCTCCACCTCCATACAAGTATGAGTCACCACCTCCACCTCCGTACAAGTATGAGTCTCCACCACCACCTCCGTACAAGTATGAGTCCCCCCTCACCTCCGTACAAGTACAAGTCACCACCACCTCCATACAAGTATGAGTCACCACCACCACCTCCGTACAAGTATGAGTCACCACCACCTCCTCCACAAATACAAGTCACCACCACCGCCTCCATACAAGTACAAGTCTCCACCACCTCCATACAAGTATGAGTCCACCTCCACATCCATACAAATACAAGTCACCACCACCTCCTTATAAGTACGAGTCACCACCACCGCCTCCATACAAGTACGAGTCCACCTCCAGCTCCATACAAGTACAAGTCACCACCACCCTCCATACAAGTATGAGTCACCACCACCACCACCTCCGTACAAGTATGAGTCACCACCACCTCCTCCGTACAAGTATGAGTCACCACCTCCTCCATACAAGTACAAGTCACCACCACCACCTCCCTACAAGTACAAGTCACACCACCACCTCCCTACAAGTATGAGTCACCACCACCACCTCCGTACAAGTACGAGTCACCACCACACCTCCGTACAAGTACGAGTCACCACCACACCTCCGTACAAGTACGAGTCACCGCCTCCACCTCCTACAAGTACGAGTCACCACCACCACCTCCCTACAAGTACGAGTCACCACCACCACCTCCCTACAAGTACGAGTCACCACCACCTCCTTATGTATACAAATCACCCCACCTCCTCCATACAAGTACGAATCACCACCTCCACCTCCATATGTGTACAAGTCACCCCCACCTTTCCATACAAATATGAATCACCACTCCTCCTCCATACAAATACGAATCACCACCTCCACCCCATATGTGTACAAGTCACCTCCACTCCTCCATACAAATATGAATCACCACCACCTCCTCCATACAAGTACGAATCACCACCTCTCCTCCATAGTATACAAGTCACCTCCACCTCCACCATACAAATATGAATCACCACCTCCTTCTCCATATGTCTACAAGTCACCACCACCACCTTATACAAATATGAGTCACCACAACCACCTCCCATATAAGTATGAATCACCCCTCCACCTCCATATGTGTACAAGTCACCCCACCTCCTCCATATGTTTACAAGTCACCTCCACCTCCCACATATTACAAGTAAACTTCGCATAACCCTTTTGTCATCTAAAGTTCCCATTTTCCTCAACTCCTTTATTTCCACCTTATTGCATATGTGAGTCTTCATATCCTCGTTTCATTCGATTCCACCTCAAACCTTCAAGTCTTCTCTCCCACTCTCTTTGTTCCATCCAACTCCGTATTGCCACAAGTCTCCATCATCTCCTTCTCCATCCATCCCTTTCCTTACCATTATATATCACCTCCTACCTATCAATGCCTATGCTAAGTTAAAAGACCCTAATTGTCTAATAAAACAGAGGCATTATGTGCATGCCTTGTGATTTGAACTACCATTTGATTAAATCCACGAATAATATATGTGCTCGACGTTGATGTATAAGAGAAGAGATTGAAGCTACATGAAGTCATCAATTTGTTCATTGCAAGCTTTGGGTTATTCCTTCGAGTCGTAGCCCTCTTTGCGGGTAATGGATTTGCTATGTTTTCAAGATTATTTACTTTGTAATTGTTTGTGATTTTCACTATCACGTTAATTTAAATTCATTGTGAATTGTATGCTTTCATGTACCAAGATGGGGATAATCTAATTTGAATTCTCTTTATTATCGTTCTCTCTTTCAAATTTGTTCTTTTTAAAAAATATTCGTATAGTAATTATTTAAAATATTAATTAATGACATATGATTTTTTTAATAATTAAAAAACTGCAAGTTGAAGTAAACGCCACAACTGTGTATTATCACAGATGAGAGACATCTACATCAAATAAAAATAAATAAAGGGTTCACTAAAACAAGTGTGGGATTTTAATTTACAAGTTTCTTTTGATTACGCTCAAATCGAATATGCTTGCGGCGAAGCATATTTTATTGTAATTTGATAGTAATTAAATGGTCAAAATATAATTTTTAAATATTTGAGTTCATGTATTTACCAGTATTATACCATTTTTATAAATTTTAATTAAATTCTAACAAATTAAAATAGAGATATTAATTTATCAATTTTCATTCAGTGAAAAAAGATAAAAATCATAATCAAACCAAATTTAATCGTATCAAATAGTTCGTGGACAATACGTTGACTGGGTTGCTAAAATGGGTCTCTCTCTCAAGGCACTTAATTAACCCTCCACGCTGCCACAAAGCAAATTAGACGAAAATAATTTCGCTTAGAAGTCATCGAACCTCTAAAAAAAGTTAATTAAGTTTTTATATTTTCTTACACTCAAATAAGTTATTATTATACAATTCACCAATCATCCTTTGCTTTATATTTATCGATAAATATAATATTGTTAATTATTATAACATGTCATATCATGATGTTATTAAGCGGTAGTTTTAGAAATTTATATTTTTAATAGTATTTTAAGTTTTTAAAAATTTATTTTTAGTACGAACTAAATAATTTCATGGTAAAAAAATTGTTATTATTTCTAGAGGTCTCGAGGTAAACACTAGGAATATTAGATGTACGAGTGTTTGATGTCAAATAGTTGAGATTTATCTTAAAAAATATTATTTTATATTTATCTCAGATTAATAAAAAAATTATTTTTAATATATTTTCAAAAATTTTCTTCTATATATTTCATGTAATAGAATTATAATATCTCATGACAGTAACATCTTAAGGAAAAATTTATCAAAATGTTTATTAATTAATTTACTTTTCCAATTTAAATATTAATTAATTTGATTTTGTCACACCCTCGATTTTTCAATTTAAATTTTAATGATTAATTGATTTTATGGACTAAATTGTGAGTTTATGAACTTTTGGACTAGTTTTGAAAATATGGGAAGTCATGGAGCCTTGAATTATCCTATTTCTGGTTAGTTGAAAAAAAAAAGAATATGGTGGCCGAGGGGTTTGAACCCATACACTAAGGGTGCGTTTGGTTCACGGAATGTAAGATTATCAGTGAGAATAAAAGATTACCAGGGGAAATAAAAGATTACCAGAGAATATGATTAGGAATGTTGTATTTTGTTGGTTAGTTAGTAGGAATGTAAGATTATCGTGTTTGGTTAAAGGAATAAAAGATTATGGAATGTATATTTACTAAATTGTTATGATTATATTTGTTTTTTAACAAGTTGAATTCTATTATATTACTATAACTAATTTATATTTTCTTTAAAATTTAAATTCATAAAATTTATATAATTTTTTACAAAATTAAAAAGATAAAATTCATAAAATTTATATAATTTTTTTTTACAAAATTAAAAAGATAAATATGTTTAATGAAAAGGTAAAATTTTATTTTAACCCCTGAACTTCATATAAAATTCTAATTATAGGTTTTTTTGTAAATATAAAATAGTTTAAGGATAAATTTGTAATTTAACCTTCGTAGAATTTTTATTATTCAACAAAAGAATAAGGATAATTTTGAAAAAAAATTAAGGGCATTTTAGTCCAAAACGTCAGTAATCTAATAATACCTAAGGGAAAGAGTAATAACATTCTCGGTAATATACCTCAAAAAATCTATATTTGGTAATAAAATATTACCGACCAACCAAACGGGGGAATGAGGATTTCACTCCCCCGATAATATCTTATATCGTGAACCAAACGACCCTAAGGTCATGGGCACCCATGCCCTAGCCATTAGGCTAGGTTTATGTTTATGATTTAATTAATAAAATATAGGTTTTATTATAATTTTGGTCAGGTTATATATCCAAAAACCAAAACCAAAAACCCCTGCATGAAATCCTTAACCCCTTTAACCGCACCTTGTCGGTCTCCCTCGATCCGCCCGTTCCAACCGTCGTCGGTGTGCACCGTCACCACTATCGTGACCAGCAACCTCCCGCGACCAAAACCCTCTATCCCTTCGTTGAGTGGTCTCACTGTTAGTTAGAATTGAATGTTTGAAGCATCGACGGAAAAGGCCCCACCTGTTCAATTATTTGTGATTTCTGGCCGAATCTGACATTGTATCACCTCACCGTCGCCACCTCCGCACTCCCTACCTCTGTTCGCTCAAAACCCAACTGCTGGGTCGTGTTGTCATCACTGTTTTCCTTGTCATCGGTGTTGGGAAGCTCAATTTATATTTTTGGTTAATTATCTCGGTTTTGAATGGATTTTGGTTGGGTTTTTGGTTTGTAATTGATGGAGTATGGTAAGTGGAAATTGTCGGAATGTTCGGTCGCCGCCCCCAACCTTATTATCATTGTCGCGTGCGCGTAGGGTCCTAAGCGATCTGACTCATTGACCTTGACCCAAACTATTGACTTTGACCTGACCGTTGACATGCCCATTGATTGTTGACCTACACGTTAACTTTGACTGTTGACTTTGTCCGAAAAGTTAAAATTTTTCAAAAAAATCATATTTTATGTTTTTCGATGTCATGAGTTCGAATCTGAAGTCAGTTTTACCAAATTCAAACCCGAAATCTTTCGAATCGACCATTTAACCCGAACATGCATATGTAATTTAAGTATTTATTTTAGTACATCTGATTTAATTAAAGGGTCAATGATGAATTTATGTTATTGTATATTTAAGGTACTCGTGGAACTCTTGATCGTTCATCTGCTCGACCCGTTTCCTCCTGATATGTCGTCAGCGCGATCTCATTATTACTCGTATAGCTCTACAACCCTGTTAAATATTCAGTTTAATATATTACTCTGATTATAACCCTCTTCTGATATAACCTAGGTTCGCGTACAATCGAAGAGCATAGTGAAAATGATGCTCGGTTGATCTCTCAGGTTGATTTTTTTACGAGGTGTGTTCCTTGTGTGCCATATATTTGTTTTAAATATCTGTTTGAAATGTCATCTGCACATAATTAATTTCTCTAATTTGAAATGAATTTTTTTCTCTGATTTAACTACCGTAATGATTCATCTGATTTAAGTATGATTCCTGATTTATTGTATTTTAAATCATGCTTGATTAACACATGTTCTCTGATTACTATTTTTATTGATAAATAAATATGTCAGAACTTTGATTTTCTGCTACCACTAGTTATTGTCTGAAAAATGTTTTTCTTCGGGGTACTCTGAGATCTGGTATAAAGTCTCTGCAGATTCAGTTACGATCAAGTTGGTAATTCCTTATATAGGTTCAACACAGATCAGCTGGTAATTTCTTATTGACCTAAGGCGACCTTTGGGGGGGCTAGCTCCTAGGCTCAATGGGCCTAGTTGTAAGACCTTATGGACTCTAACGTACTCCCTTAGGGTGGTACATCTGCTATGTGAATTGGGTAAGTCCTTATGGGCATGAGGGCACACCCCTCAGGTGGGTACTTACACTTCGGCTAGGGTAAGACCTTATGGACTCAAGGTGCTCCCTTAGGTTGACACCTACGCCCTTTGAGCTTAGGATAAGTTCTTATGGATGTAGTTCCGGGAAACTGCATATGGTCTACGGTTGGAGGGCTATGTTGTACTCTAAACCAAAACACTACTGACGTTTTTATAACTTGAAACTGAACTGATTTGAAAACTTAATTGTATGTTTTATTTCTGCATTGTTGGAACACACTGAGCTCCCTAGCTCACTCCCCCAAACTTTTTTTTTCTTTCAGATACTTTTCGATAATCGACCCAGACCTGACACTTGGAGGATCGACACATTCACACAATTCCATTTTATTGTAATATATTTATCTTCCAAGCTGCATTTTTTGGGTGATATGTGCATTTATTTTGGAGGATCGATAAATATAATATTGTTAATTATTATAACATGTCATATCATGATGTTATTAAGCGGTAGTTTTAGAAATTTATTATTTTTTAATAGTGTTTTAAGATTTTTTAAGATTTTTTATTTTTAGTATAAACTAAACAATTTCAGTGGTAAAAAAATTATTATTATTTTTAGAGGTCTTGTGTTTGAACACTAGGAATATTAGATGTACGAGTGTTCGATGTCAAAGAGGGGCAGCTGTGGACACTCGTTTTTGTCCGGGGTTCTCATATTACTAATTAGTTATTATTACCAGGTTTTGCATGTATTTATTTATTTATGCTATTATTAGTTTATTAGTTGTATGGGTGTGTTTAATTACATAGTGATTGTCTATTTATCTATGTGGTTATGCATGTGATCATATATATATATATATATACATAAATAAATATGGTACATGGATTCACTAAGT